TGTTGACACAAGCATTAGCCGCCTGAAAAATGCCGGCTGCAGGTCCTCTGACGAAAGAGTTCCTCCATAAAGGCCAACGAGCCAACTCTTTCTGTGCTTTGGCGTCGCGACACGACTGCGACAACCAATCGACCAAAACATTCTGCTGTTGATTAAGAAGTTCAGACAATTGCATGTGCTGAGGATGTTCACACTGTACTGAGCTGTGCAAGTCTGTCGCTTCGACGGCCAGACCGAGCAGTTGGCAAAGCTGTTGACCCGACCAGTCAACCTCAAGGTGACCAGGACGGAAGGCAGAAGGCCGCACACGACTGGCCAGAAGGCAACATGCCAGTTCGTGAAGATTTAGGCGCACCGAAAGCTTGAAGAGAACGCCACCTCTGTCTTCGCCTCCAGCAGAGATAAGACGACGAATCATATAGCAACCGACCTGCCAATAATAGAATCAAAAAGAAGAGGCACAAAAATGCAAGAATTCATCAATTCATAAGTGTTCGGATGTGCATGTGTAGGAGAGGCTTTGCTAAAGCATACATATGTTTTTGTACGTATGCATCTGTGTTTGTGAGTTTAAAGGCGAGATAATGCTCGATCAAATGGTCACCAGTACTCTATACAATACTGCATGGAAGAGTTTACGGGGAATATCCGGTAGACGATCGGCCTATAAGAGATGCCAAAAAAAATTCCATGCGAAAATATAAAGCGAACAATTCGGCGATTCGAAGGTATGCAAGTGGCCATTGAAGAAGCCACCAAAGAAAGAAAGGCTATCGCGTAGTACTAAAAATTCAAGTACACATAAAAATCTACTGTCGGAACATCCTAATATGACTGCAAATAGGCTTAGACAACCGGTTATGTAGTATGCATCTTTCAACAGGCAAGAAACAACTAGTATACAATAGTGTAAAATCAAATGAAACTCCGTTTCCAGGCAAAAAATGACAATTCACGAGGTATTGCGTGATTATAAGAAGAGTAGTCAAACAAAGCCGAAGAAAAAAAACCGAGTCTGCCCTTATGTAAACGAATTTCTGACATAATAATGAAATGTTATCCTAATTTTACAGGATTTGATTGTGCGCATTTCATACTGAGAAAAATGACTAAAGTAACATACTCAAATATATACATCAGGTCATCCTGGATAGGCATTATTTAGATTCCAGGATATATAAGTACCAACAACAATAATTCTAAAATTATGAATAGAAAAAATAATGTGAGCGAACATTAATTTGTAAATATTTGATTATTTATTACAAAAGAAATAACGTCACGATTATGAGGTCACTGTAAGAAACTATAGATCATAAAACCAAAACAAGTAGCAGAAATATCCTTCAAAGGGATTACTATATGTGCTTGGCAAAGTTTTGCATAAGCTTCCGTAATGCCAACGTTTCACAAGCGTTGGTTCTTCAAATAGACCAAAAACGACTAGGTGCATTCTTTATGGACGAATAGGGCATTTTGAGCGTTAACTTTAGCAAAAAAACGTCTTCGAATTTCCGATAGACTTGTGAGGAAAGGTTAAGAGTTACAAACCAAAGTTTATTAAAATCGCTAGAAAAAGGTCGATATTTTAGAGAATACAAGGTTTGGTGTCCGGTATATCGTCCTCAAAGAGCTAAAAATTATGATCTCATAATTATAGACCTTAAAGCACCCAGGAAAGAAAAATCTGTAAAGCTGAGGGAATGGTGTAAAGGGACAACGAAGCATTGCATAGATAGAGAGGAAGCGCGTCTCAGAACCTTTGGAGCATGAGGATCAGTAGTAACAATCATGAAATTGTTTAAGAAGGTCATGTCATACACTTCGAGATTACCCTCCATGATCTTTCACTGCAGGGACAACTTGACCATTATCCTAAGTCATTGATGGATCCATAATAAACACACATCACTCATGAAACCAATATAGATCATAGCTAGGCAAAATGGGTAATAAGAGCTTAGTCACCTTAGGTTGTCTAAGGTGATAAAAAGTTAAAAATGCTTTTCTACAATGAGATTACTAGGCCTAACGAAACTATTTAATTCCACTTAGCATTGCGTTGGTTTGACCTCGTTTATGCAAATTGGTTGGAGCAACATGGAGACCTTGTGGGACGTACCTAGTCATGCGTTCATTGCCATAGTATTCATGATCTCTAGCATCGGACCATTGACTTGGTACATTCTCAATACATTTCGACGACATCGTCAGATAGAGAGGCCACTGTTAGCTTGATAACTTGACAAGTGAAGGCAATCCACTTGACTAATTTTCTGTTCAACTGTTGTGGCATCACTCTTCGCCCTATTTGTCCTGCCTTCTAGTGCTCAGTCTCTTTATGCCAAACCCACTTTATATAGCCCATTTACCGATTCACATAATTCTGTGCTCTCGTTTCCGCCAATGTCGCCTAGGAGTGTGTAGCTACAAGTGGATTTAGTGAAGCGTAATCATCTTCACCACCGGTTCTAGATGCCGTTTGCAGGGTTTCTGACTTTTATTCAGCGCCGCTACCACCCCGCTTATCAATTGGTCGCTGCTGCACATCAAAATCGTTGTCTGAATGTCTAAAATCTGGCTGCCTATGCGTCTTAAATTCCGGTACCCATTTACGTAATATTCGAGGATTTAAGACTGGCGATTCTCATGCCTAGGTATCATCATCTTACTAGTCTTTAGATCCATGAAACAGGAATTCTTTTTGTCGTAGTTTCTTTGAAAATCCTGTTTATTCTCTACTTCCTTACTAGTTGGCCCAGCTTTTTAGAGTGAGTGCACGAAGGAAAAGATAAAGCATGGGAAAAGATCTCTTAATCTCTCCTTGCGTATTCACCATTCAAAAAGGTATTCTTCATTTGTCTAATGTTATTTTAAATGATTTGAATAGAGTTTCTA